CGAAGGACCTCGTCCTCAAGGGCTCGAAGAGCATCACGAGTCACCGGACGGCGGTCGATCCGGTCGTCACCACCCGCCACCTACTCTTCTCGATGAGAACGGTGACGTCCACTATCACGTGGAATGTCTTGTGAGACGACGTCGTCACCAGGGTCAAACCCAATATCTGGTGAATTGGCGGGGATATCCCGACTCCGAAAACTCGTGGGAGTTTGGGGCGACACTTCGGCAAGATTGCCCAGTCGCCATGGACGCTTTTGATCGGAAAGGTCAAAACGTTCGCGTCATCAGACGCCCCGCGCTTCCCGGCAATAGCCAGGAAGTAGAAGGGCCATGAGCTGAGCTCAAGAAGTGGCCCTGAGCTCTTGCGGTCGCAGACACAGAGCTCGTGGGAGTGTTAGGGGTTAACCCATACGTCGCAGGGCGACAATCCGAAGGAAGCCGACGGCGTGCCTTGCGTTTGGCAAACTCAAATCGGAGGTGTCGCTCCACACGCACGTCCACTTTCTTGTGACTCAACTGTAGGTTGTATAGTGAGGAAAGTTTCTAATGCCGTTGCACCCATCGCTTGAGGTGCGCTTCGTCATCTGTAGCACTTTCGCCAGGGGCGAGCACTACAGTTATTGTCCGCATTGCGGATACACGAGAGCTACCTCGTTGAGCACTCAGACGAGTGCGATAAGCTTCCAACGGAAATTCTTGTGGAACCAAGAAACGAGCTCGAAGAGCCTTCCGTTTGGCAAGTTCATCTTCCGTTCTGGCCGGGGGTTCGATGATGTGGACGCGTAACGATCGAGTTACAGCTTCCTTCGCTTCCACAGCGGGATCCGCTGGGCGAAAGCCATATTCCACATGAGGGTCAATGCCTGGTCGTGAATGGGCGTACTTTAGAGCCGCCCTATGTGCAGCTTCAAGCTGTCGCCTTTGAGCCCCGTCGAGGTCATTGGTGATTACACCACGTTCCTCGGTTGACGAGAAGTCTGGGAACGAACATGGGGCCCGCAAGGCACGAGCAGGGCTCGTATCCCGCTGCTGGTGCAGCTCGCCTTCCTCGTCATCCCATGCGGGAAAAGGAGTGACAGACTCGTAGTCGACACCTTCACATCCTCAACGAGGTCACCCGTCATTGATAGCGTGGGCAAAGCCCGACGTTTGTGCTCATCGAGTCTAGGATGTTCATCCCTCGGTGCCGCGGACGTACTGTCCGACATCGCACCGCGTGAGGGAGACGAAGTTGGGCTCTGCCCATACTCCTTGTCAGAACCAGCGAGACTTGATGGTTTTCGGTCGTGGGCACAGGGCTCATTGAGCAAGGAAGTTGTTGAACTCCAACAAATTGAGTTGCAGTGTCTAACGGACACGCAAGCCTCGTTGAGGCGATAATTGATTGGAAATGCAACTGTTCTCAATCTTAATGGGGGAGGGTGTAACGTGGTCATACGTCCCCTGGTAACAGGGGTGTGAGTCACACGAGATGTACATGGTGTGACCACACCCAAACAAGAATACGGTACGGGGTAGGTAGCCAGTAATTATGCATGTATTTAGATTTTACTATATATATTTAGTATATTTAGGAAAATTTAAACTTTTAATATTAGTCGGCTTTGTCGCAGATAAAAATAAATAAAAGTCAGTTTTGGATTTTAAGCGGAAGAGCTAATTAGCCTA